CCTGTCAGAGGTGTAGTTTGCAAATATTTTCTCCCATTCTTGAGGACCTGAAATGGGGAGGGCTGGACCAGGCCCGTGTGGGGGTGACGTGCTCGCCAGTTGGATGTGCAAGGGCCCTGCACTGACCACTCTCTTTAGCCGGGCACCTTTCATGCATTTTGGGGCTGGCACTCAGTACAGAGTGGCACACACAGGACAGCAACGGATCCTGGCATTTGTCTGCTCTTAATTTATTAAGCAGATAGACATTCTGCTTAATTTAATTAAACTAATTAAATTCTTAATTTTTCTTAATTTGATTGTGCTGTTTATTTATTAAACAGAAATTTTATTCAGATTTTTTAAAATTTTATTTTTTATTGATTGTATATATTCATGGGGCACAGAGCTGACCGTCAGCACGTGTGCCCAAGATGTGGCAGTCAGGCCAGTACTGTCAGCATGCCCACCCCAGGTCAGAATTCTCAAACCGCATGTCAGCTGGAGTTTCCTGGGTTTTTTTCCCTACTGTCTTCTCATTCTTCATCCCCAAAACTGTCCCTTAACGTCACTGTGGTTGGCGGCCCCGGCCCCCACGTGAGGGTGAAGCCCTTCTGGAACTCTCCCTGCTCACCGCTGCCTCCCTTTGCTCCTGCGCAGGCCTCGGCGGGGCCGTCGGCTACGTGCTGGGTGGGCTGGACTGGACCCAGACCTTCCTGGGCAACTGGTTCAGAACGCAGAGCCAGGTGCTCTTCTTCTTTGCCGCCGTCATCTTCACAGTGTCCGTGGCGCTGCACCTCTTCAGCATCGAGGAGGAGCAGTACAACCCGCAGCAGGACCGCTGCACCGAGGAGACCGCCCTGCCCAGCACCCGCCTCAGCGCCTTTGACAGGGGCGCGCAGCTCGGCGGCTCCCTTTTGCCAGACGAGGTGCAGTCGGAGCATGAGCTGTCCCTGGACTATCTCAGCGTGGACATAGTACGCAGCAAGAGCGACTCGGTGCTGCACGTGCCCGATGCCACACTGGAGCTGGAGCCCGAGCTGCAGTTCCTGCACGACATCGAGCCCTCCATCTTCCAGGATGCCTCCTACCCCAACACGCCCTGCAGCACCAGCCAGGAGCTCCCGCAGGCCAAGCTGTCCCGCCGGTCCACGTTCCTCAGGGAGACCATGAAAGAAGATGACACCCTGCTCGATAACCACTTGAATGAGGCAAAAGTCCCCAATGGAAGCGGATCTTTGCCAAAAGATGTCCCCAGCAGCTCCAGCAGGGTGGACGTGAAGCCCTCGGCTGTGTCTGCCTCTGCGCGGCGGCGCCGGCACAGGTTCCACCGGCAGGCCTCCAGCACCTTCTCCTACTATGGCAAGATCGGGTCCCACTGCTACCGCTACCGGCGGGCCAACGCGGTGGTCCTGATCAAGCCGTCCCGCAGCATGAACGACCTGTATGACCTGCAGCAGCGGCAGCGGCAGCGGTGCCGGCGCAGGAACCAGAGTGGGGCCACCAACTCCAGCGGGGACACGGAGAGTGAGGAAGGGGAGGGTGAGACCACCGTGCGCCTGCTGTGGCTGTCCATGCTGAAGATGCCCCCAGAGCTGATGCGGCTGTGCCTGTGCCACCTCCTCACCTGGTTCTCCGTCATTGCCGAGGCCGTGTTCTACACCGACTTCATGGGCCAGGTCATCTTCGAAGGGGACCCCAAGGTGAGTGTTCAGGCCCCTGAGCGGGGCACACAGCTTCTCAGCACCCCCAATTCTGTAGGCTGGGAGGCCACTGGTTACGACACAGGCCTCTGCATCGGGGGCCTCTTCCAAACCCACTTGATGGCCCCTTGTGCCCTGGTGCCTGTGGGTGTCAGGGATGTGTAGGGGGAGGCACACGGCAGGCAGCTGGGCATCGTGCACCTCTATTAGGTGGTTGGAGCATCATGCAAGCCCAAAATGGGGGTTCGCAATGGGGTCCAGTCACGAAGGCCAAGTGCTGTCACAGGGCGGGGTCACTTTGAGAAGGCCAAGTGGGGCTTTGCCTGGGCTGTCTGTTGCTGCACATCAGACTTACCTCTATTAGGTGGTTGGAGCATCATGCAAGCCCAAAATGGGGGTTCGCAATGGGGTCCAGTCACGAAGGCCAAGTGCTGTCACAGGGCAGGGTCACTTTGAGAAGGCCAAGTGGGGCTTTGCCTGGGCTGTCTGTTGCTGCACATCAGACTGCCCCAAAGTCAGCCGTCACAATAATGACCTGTTGTCACTTGTGCCAAGCTCCGCTGGCAGTTCTCTGGTCCTGTGGTACCAGCTGGGCTCACAACTGTGGCTGCATTTGCCGCCTGGCCAGGAGGGCCAAGATGGCACACGCTCAGACCTCCTGTCCCCTTCCTGAGCTCAGCCCTTCTTTTTCCGGGTCTAGTCTGAGCTGCTCCATGTGGCATCTCCAAGAGGGCAGAGGCAGAGGCTGCAGAAGAGTCACTTCTGCAAGTTTACAGCAGCCCAGATTCGTGAAGCAGGGACAGGGGCAGGAAGACTCCACCTCTTTTGGGGGGAGGGGTGGCAAAGGGCTGGGAGGGATTGAAAACTATGTACTGGATAGTGACCTGGACTTGGGGGTGACTTACCTACAGTTGAAGTGTAAGAACCTCCTTTGCACAGAGGGTATAGCAGATACTCTGCTAAGCCCCAGTCTCATTTTTGAAACAGGCCCCCTCCAACTCAACCGCCTGGCACTCCTACAATGCCGGGGTGAAGATGGGCTGCTGGGGCCTGGTCATCTACGCTGCCACCGGTGCTATTTGCTCAGGTAAGAGGCCTCTGGGTTAGGTAAGCATTCACAGCGCAGAAGGTGCTCAGCGATTGGAAATATGCACAAGGGAATCCTGCCCCTTACAAGGTGGAGGTGTCAGCCAGACTCTGGCTTCTGCCTGAACAGGGCCGTCCTTCAAGGGAGAAGCATCAAAGTGCATATGTCCTTATCTTAGGGAAAAAGGCTCCTATGTGCTGATGCCAGGAACAGGGTATTGCTGAGACCCCTTTGGAGGCCATCCTGCAGTGTCCCCTCCAGTGACACTGTCCAATGTTGATGGTGCCTCTGTTTCGGGGAGCCTTCCCTAGGGGGCTCGGCCAGCAGTCAGAGGAGCAGGAAGGAGCAGTGTCCAGTCTGCATGGATGAGAGGATGCTTCCGGTGGGTGCTGCTTTGTTTCAAAAGCTGGGAGTCTGGGTGGCAGGTTTCATTCCTGGGAACAGCACGCCCAGACTCGCCTTGGGGGATGGGTGTGACCACAGTCTGGGGTCCCCAACTGAGTCTGGCCTCCTAGCAGTCTGAACCACAGAGAAGGCCAGCTTTGTTTCAGTCTGAGCTGGCTTGAGGGTGACCAAAGTCAATACCACATGGTCACCCAGAAGCCAGCATGACAGCGACCCAGTGTTGTCACTGCTTTAATAAATCCTCAGGAGAGCACTGGAGCCGCTTCCTGGAGGAGGTGATGGTTGAGTCACTGGGTCAGGAAGGGTGAACAGGAGATCAGAGAGGTACCCACAGGAAAACCCACAGTGAGCAACCTGTGACCTGAGGCAGGACTGCCAGTGCTGCCCTGCTTCAAGAGGATGAAATCGTCCTGGGTTTAGGGCCAGGGAAGGCAGCAAGTGGGCGTGGCTTGGTGGCCTGGCAGGTCAGGGAGGCCCCCAGGGGCTGCAGGAAGGGCCAGCTTATAGGATCTGGGACCAAGGAGGGCAACTTCTCTCTGAGGTGCTGGGGCCACTGGAAGCTGCAGGTTGTGAGCTGGGAGCATGTTTGGGGGCACATGGCAGCCAGGCCAGAGGAGAAGGTATCTTCCTGTATTTGAGAGGGCCGAGGTTCAGCCGCAGGAAGCAGGCAATGTCCAGGTAAGGGATGGGACAGCAGAAGGAGACGACAGGAGCGAGTACTTGGTCAGTGTCCCTGTGGTCCTTCCTGCAGCCCTGCTACAGAAGTACTTGGACAACTACGAACTGAGCGTCAGGGTGATCTACGTGCTGGGGACGCTGGGCTTCTCCGTTGGCACAGCCGTGATGGCCATGTTCCCCAACGTCTATGTTGCCATGGTCACCATCAGCACCATGGGCATCGTCTCCATGAGCATCTCCTACTGTCCCTATGCCCTGCTAGGGCACTACCACGACCTCAGGCAGGTGCGTCCAGCCCAGGGCCCCTCTGCTCCCCTGCCCATGGAGCTCAGCCCCTTCCCCAGGGGATATTCAGGACCCCGCTTGTCCCCTTCGGTCCTCAGCTTTGAAATGGCTCCTGACAAGCTGACAGAGCTGCTGCCTGCCCCTGCCCCTGCCCCTACAGTGCCCTCAGACACGGCGGCCACCCCTGAGGGGAGGGAAGCTGCAGACAAGCACTGTCCCGTCAGATAGAGGGCGAGCCGCCCGGCAAGTCCACGCTTCCTAGGAGCCACGTGTAAAAAAGTAAAAAGACCGATGACATTAATTTTAATAGCATATTTTATTTAACTCTGTATATTTAAAACATTATTTCAACCTCTATCCAATATATAAAAATTAACTATTCTACATTCTTGCTAAGCCTTTGAAATTGAGTGTCTCACACCTGCAGCACGTCGCAGTTCAGACGAGCCTCATTTCAGATGCTCAGTAGCGGCAGCTCAGGTGGACACCACAGTTCTCAGTCTTAACATAGATCCTTGCAGAGGGAAAGGAAAAAACAAAAAGCTCATGTCTCCTTCCTAAACCTAAACTATGTTTATTCATCTAATCTCTTACATAAGTATTAAAGCAAAATAAATGTGCTGATTAGATGCATAGTAAATACGATAGTAATGAAAATCTAAGTTAACAGCATTGTTTTTTAAGTAAACTTTTAAATTGCAGTATGACATGACTACTGAATCTTAAGTGAGCAGAGTCATGGCTTTTGGGAAGGAAAAACACACTTGTAGAACCCACCCAGACCAAGACAGAGCCTTACCAGGGCCCAGAGCCCCTCGGGCCCCTCCCCTCTCCCCAGAGGTCACCATTGTGCTGACGTCTGACACCATGTATTCCTTTTGCCTGTTTCTGAGCTTTGTACAGTGGAGCATCTGGCTCCTCGAGTCCCCCGTTCTCTGCAGCTCACTCACTGCTTGTGGGGGCAGCCTCGATGAGCTTCACGTCCCGCGGTGGGACCAAATTTGTCACCCACCCTCCTTTGATGGAGTTTGGGTGATAATGCCACGCCTAATGGGGTTGGTGAAGTTGCTTCCACTTTTGTCCCCTCCCATGAGCTAGAACTTTCTGCTTCTCCTGCCTACATGGTGCTGGGTAGGAGTTGGGGGTGGGGACTCAAGCAGGAATGGTTCCCAAGTTCAGTGAAAGGCCAGTTTTGTTCCCAGACTTTTTTTTTTGGTGATTGGCCAGTACGGGGACTGGAACCCTTGACCTTGGTGTTCTCAGCCTCACACTGTCCCAAGTGAGTCACCAGCCAGCTGAGTCACAGTCTGCACCTCTGCTGTGCTGGCTGGGATGAGCCTCCCCCACCCCTCACACGTGTTCCCTCTCTTGCAGTACGTCAACCACAGCCCCGGGAACTCCAAGCGAGGCTTCGGCATCGACTGCGCCATCCTGTCCTGCCAGGTCTACATCTCCCAGATCCTGGTGGCATCCGCCCTCGGGGGCGTGGTGGATGCCGTCGGGACCGTCCGTGTCATTCCCATGGTGGCCTCCGTGGGCTCTTTCCTAGGCTTCCTGACTGCCACATTCCTGGTGATCTACCCCGAGGTGTCAGAGGAAGCCAAGGATGAGCAGAAAGGCCTGTCCTCCCAGCCTGTCGGTGATGGCAGCAGCGGGGGCCGCGAGAAGCCCACTGTCCTGAAGCTCTCGCGGAGGGCGGGCCTGCACGCACTGGTGGAGTCGGAGTCAGTGGTCTGAGCCACACTCCTGGTGACACGTGCTCCCAGGCAGGCGCAGGGGACGGCGGGGAGCAGGAGAGGCGCTGCTGCTCCTGCGGCAGCACAGACAGGCCTTTCCCAACATGTAGGTGACATTCAGTAGTCATAGGGTAGGCTGAGCTGAGCTCCTAGGCAAAAATGCCACACTAATTACTTTTTCCACAATTAAAAAAAAATCATTTGAAATCTTTTTAATTGAAAAAGATCTTTTAATTTCAACTTTGTCTTTTATTCTGCAGGTATATTATTCTGCATGTTTTTACATTGTAAAACATTTACAATATAGACAATAAGCAATTTAGAAAAAAATAAGATTTTTCATTTCTAAAATTTAATTGAAAACAAAAAGAATCTGACGTCCTTTGCTATATCTTATCTGAATACTTCAGGTAATAGTAGTGTAGTCAATGACTAAGACATTTTTATCAAATTTTTTCTCTGGACACCTACAGGTATTTGGACCTTCTGTCAGATCTTGTCACATTTTGTTGGTGCTGCAGCTGTTGGAGAGTATTTTTCTTTATGATTATTTTAGAAGAAAGCATTCTCTTTTTCATGACTGTGGTTTTCTTAGAAAACCAGTGTCTCTTCTTTCCTCGGAGAGTGTGACACGTGGTGCCCAGGGCAGCCCTGCTCCTGGGCAGGGCCCACACCAAAGCTGGGAGGAGCCCTGGGGTGGGGCAGGGTGCCATCGGGGGCACCCATGAGCTCTCTGCGTGGCCATGTGTGCGTGTGCGTGTGTGTGAGCGTGTGTGTCACAGTGCCCTCCTGGGAGGCTGTCAGCCCCTGCAGACCCCTCCCCACATCAGGGAAGGAAGCCATTGGCTCCGCGTTGCACTTTGATTTCGTCTCTAAACCACGTGCTGGGGAACCCTCGGCAGAGCTTCGGGTGGACACTGCCTCCCACGTCCCGCCGCAAGGCTACCTCGGGTATGTGTGGGACAGCGGCCTCGGGACAGGGAGCAGGAGTGCGTGGGGGACCTGCGTGCCAGAACCGCTGGAACTCTGTGACTTCCTCGCCTGCTGGCCCTCTTGACTCTGGAATTTGGAACAGCACAAGAAGCATGCGTCTGTCTGGACAGAGGGAAGGCCACCTCGCCGGAAGGCTCGTGAGTGTCTTCGATTTCAGCAAATAAGCAAAACTCGGACTTGGGGGAAGTACAGTCGTCATATACTGCAGCTACTGGAAAATGTTTTTCAAATCACCATCTCTCTATAACTGAGCGGTTTCTGCTCTTGTCTGAAACGGTCTAAGCTTCCTGAGATCAGGAGAAAGAGGCCCCCTGCACACTACATGGATAAAGTCAGACAATTGTAATATTTTTGCTGCCTCAAGTTAATGTTTTTTAAATAAAGTACTTTAAAATGCACGAGAATCATGCTGCAATATGATCATTCTAAAGCAAATATACATACACACATATATTTCAAGATGAAACTAAACAGTTTTTAAATAAGTTACTTGAATTTTCTGTGCATTTAAAGGAATGACTGTTTAACTTACTTGACAGCCTGTGGTCTTGCCGTGTCTCTAGCCACTGGTGGCACTGTGTAGGTCATGTGTCTTGTATCAGGTAGCAGCAGTTTGGTGCCTGTTCACTTGGGGCGTGTGATCATGCCAATGAGGGCACGTTCCACCAGGCCATGTGTCCTCCCTCAGAAGCCCTGGACCACAGAGGACTGACTTCAGGACTCGAACATCTTCTGTATGTGTTAAACCTGCAGAATGGCCTTGTGAGTCCCGTGCTCGGACAAGGGAGAGGCCGACTACTGAAAACACTGCTGGCGTTGCTGTGAACCCTTCCGCCAGTGGGAGCGTCATCAGTGGGGCGTTCTGTCTCTTCTCCTCGGGGTGACAGGCACCCAGGGGTTCCTCCCCTCAAGCCGGGCATCTTTGCAGCTCACTCCTATGCAACTCGATTCTCTTTTCTGGCTTTAAGATTGTAGCTCCTCCTTCCAGAGACATTTGCTTGGTTGTCAGGACTGTGGCTGCCAGTCATGGCCTCTGTTAGTTGATTTATCCTGCTTCCTATCCTGGTGACTGGAAAACAGAAGCAGGAGAGCAGAGAATATGGGGTGGGGGTAGGACTGACCCCAGTCAAGATCTGAAACACTTGAACCAAACACATGGCTCCAGCCAGGAGAGCCGCACCTCGTCCAGGGCGCACACCCTCCTATGCAGCACTCACAGAAGCCGCATGTGCAGGAGGCCTGGCTGTGACTTGAGTTTTTGGAGGAAAAAGGGCTTGGCAGTCACCACCTGAACAGCTGCTCACAGAAGCCGCGTGTGCAGGAGGCTCAGGGCCTGGCTGTGACTTGAGTTTTTGGAGGAAAAAGGGCTTGGCAGTCACCACCTGAACAGCTATTAACCCTTGAGATCCTGGGCTTAGCTTGACCGTGATCTGAAACAATAAAGACTCTAAGTGTGTGTTAAACACATCATGTAAGTTTTATGAAGAAAAGGGATTATAAAGAAGAGTAATATCGCGCGTGACTGAACTTTCGTGTTAGGCGGGGAAAGCGACCTCGTGTCATGTCTGTTTCTACACAGAGGCCTTGGCTTTGTCCCGCTTCTTGGCCAGGCAGATGTCTGCTGCGTGCCGTGCAGCGCCACCTCTGTCCTGCACGCGTCTGGTTTGTGTAGCGTTCTGACTCCTCCACGCGCAGACCAGCCTGCGTCTAGACCACTGCCCCCCTAGCATGTTTGTTACTCTGTGGTTGACTCTTAATAAACTTTTCTCTCCATGGTGACATCGTGGGTGTGTCTGTGTCACCTCCCCATGGGTCGTGCTCTGCTCTCCTGGAGCTGGAAAACCTGGGGCCCCTCCCTGGGACCCCCAGCCCAGGCCTCCTTCAGCTCAGCCCTCCGTCCTTGCACCCTCTGCCTGCCTCACCTTGTGGCTCTGGCCCTTCCTTCCAAGTGCCTGTTGGGGTGGGGTCTCGTGTCCTCGCCCTGCTAGAAGATTCCTGACTCCTCTAAAGAGAGCGTTTGAGGGAACCAGCCAGCCTATGCGTGTGTGGCCAAGCCGGGCGGTGGGCAGTAGGTGACCTGGTGTGTGTGCCGGGCCTTGGTGACCCCACTGTGCTGCAGGGTCCTGGGCTGGCTGGATGAAGCTCCCCTGGCCTTCCCCCGCAGCATGATGGGTCATCTTGTCGTGAAGGGGGACCAGACTTACCAAGGTCACACAGCTGTTGGGACTTGAACCCAGAGTGGGCAGATTTGTTCAAAGGCTCCTCTGACCTGGGCTGTGGGGCACAGGGGCGCTGCTGAATCCGGGCGCAGAAGAGGCCCCACCCAGGCGGGGTTGGGGTGTGGCAGGGTCCGGCTTGAACCACAGGTAGTGGGAGAAGGGCTCCGATGGCAGGGGAAGCCTAGAACCCCCGCCCCCGGCTGCGAGTCCCCGCTCGGCCACTCCCCCGCTGTTATCTGGGCGCCCCGAGGGTAGAATGCGGGCTGGTGGCCCTGTCGTGGGGACTGACGGGATGGACGCGTTCCCACGCCTGCAAGGGTGCGGACTCCAGCGCCTGCAAGTGGGGAAGGGAGCCGGGCCGCCCGGACTCGAGAACCCCGAGAAGAGCGCGCGGCGCCCCCTGCCGGCCGCCTGGTGCTCACGGCACCCTCCGCCCCCGGCCCGGTCCCCACCAGGCAGGGCGGGGCTGCAGAAGCCTCGGCGCACCCCAGGCTCGGGGCTGGGCGCTGGGGACACACAGGAAGGTGCGTACCCGCTGAGGGCGGCGGGACCCGACATCCCGGCGCTTCCCTTCCAGACGGAGGGGGGCGCTTGGCCACCGCGCGGCAGTCACCGCAGCTACGGAGATGTCACCCCAGGACCGGGCCGGAGCGGTGGGCTCCCGGACGCTGCGAGCCCTGCACCCCGAGGTCCGATCAGCGCTCGGATCCCCCTGCGTGCGGGCGGGGAGGGCGGAACCGGCGCCCCCTAAGCCCCTGCCCCAGGGGAGTGAGCGGCGCGTCCGGGCTGGAGCGGGCACCGTGCAGGTCGCCGAGGCAGGCGAGCCGGGGCAGGCGCGGTACGCACATCCCACCTGAGCGGCCCCAGCGAGCAGAGGTTAAGCCAGGTGCTGCGCCCCTGTCCTCGCTGCCCTCCCAGGCGCTTCCTGAGGATGTGACCTGCGCCCCTAGTGGCCGTCACGGGGCAAAAAGCAGCCAAGAGCGCGGGAAATCAGTGTCCCAGTCCCCTCCCAACCCGCACAGCCTTCCCGTCTTTGTCTCCACATATGCTGATATTAAAAATTTTTGATCCTAGGGCCGGCCCGTGGCTCACTCGGGAGAGTGTGGTGCTGATGACACCAAGTCAAGGGTTAAGATGCCCTTACCAGTCATCTTTTAAAAAAAAAATTTTTTTTTTTTTATCAAAAATTAGACCACTGTGTAAAGTTTTGCAATCTGTATTCTTTTGTTCAGCAAAATATCTTGATGATCTTTCCTTTTTAGTGCATTCTTTTTTTTTTTTTTTTTTTTTTTTTTTTTTTTTTCGTGACCGGCAATGGATC